CGGCCAGCGGTCCTTCTTTGGAAGAAGAAATGCTGTCTTACTGGGCCATTTTAAGAGAGCACACACAGCGCTGGGGAGGTGGCCCGGTCGATAAAGTGCTTGGCCACCAAGCACGAGGACCTGGCTTTGAGCCCCATATCCACATCAAAAAGAGAAGGACGCTGGTTCTGCGAAAGCCTAGCTTGGGACGCCTCACACTTGCCCTTCCTCTTCAGTCTCTGTGCATGATGCCCGGGGGTTTTCAGGGGAGCAGGGCGCACAGATGTATAAGGGACACAGTGATGGTCAATGCTGACGGCCATCGTGGCAGGATCTAGAATCCTAAATAGAAGTCAAGCCTTTGGGCATGTCTGTGAGTTTCTAGACCGGGTTAACTGGGAGGGAAGACCTGAATGTGGAGGGCACCGTCCCATGGGCTGCGGGTCCGGGACTCAATAAAAAGGAGAGGAAGCTGAGACCAGTGTGTATCCATCTCCTTCTGTTTCCTGACTGTGGTCACATGACACCAGCTGCCTCACTCTCCTGCCTAGGTGCCTTCCCGCTGTGATGGACTGTGCCCTCCAACTGTGGTCCCTTACTGCCACAGCAGTGATGTCACTGATAAGCCCCACCCCCCCAGTCTTGTCTCTTTTACCTCCTTTAGGTTCTGCCTGGAAGCTGGGGGGTGCTAGCACCATGCACTTCCCAGCCTCCAGAACGAACAGCTGAAGTACACTCTTCTTCATAACTCACCCAGTCTCAGGTATTTTATTATAGCAATGAAACAACTGACCGAGACAGTACCTAACACATCAGGCATTCAGGAGATGAATGAATGAATGAATGAATGAATGAATGAATGAATGAATGAATGAATGAAATGGAGGCTGGATAAAGAACTCATCCAAATGATACACTGGACCACTAAGGTGGTCTGGGATTCATACGGAACACTTTCGGGAAATGCCTATTCAAACAGACCATTCTCGCAGCGCACGGTTTGGGTCAAACGAAGCGAAGAAGGGTCTGAGTGGTTAAATGTTGCTAAGGAGACTGTAAAAGGCACAAAGTCTTGGGAAGGTACCGCCTGCTGCCAGGATGTCTGGAGGAGAAAAATAGCGTGTTTATCTTTTAAGAGATTTTAAAAAAATATATTATACCATTATAAACAGTAACTCAATTAAGTAAATTGTTTAGCTGAATTTTTCATTCTGAATACAAATGAGAGGCATTATGTGGAAAATGGCTTGGGGGAGGCCCCCGGGAGGGTGGACGTTTGTTTCGAGGGCCAGTGACTGATGACCACAGTAGAAGGCATGCTGTTTGCACCACTTAGACCATTTTTTCTCCTCAACCCATAAGCCTTGCTTGTGACCCACATGAGAGGTGCTTTACAGACAGAAAGAGGAACTCTCGAATCAGGGAGTTCTTGTTCCCTGGCACGCTGATTTTGATAAAATGCCTGGCATTGCCCACCTACAGGAAGTAGCTATTTATTTTGCAAGGGCAGCAAGTTCACATTTTAGATGCGTGGGGTCTTTACAGGGACCCCTTGCTCTGAGAAGGAGATGGCGAGGACAGGAAGGGTTGAGAGGGAGAAGGAGGAAGTGCCGGCATGGAGTTCTGTCACAATGGTTTTGGGGACATGGGGACGAGGAAGGCATGGGGCCGAGAATGTACAACCGTGTGCCGGGAGATGGCTCGGTGGGCTGTGGTTTGGGTGTGAAGCATCCCCTCGGGGTGCGGGTGTTGGAACATTGGCTGGTGGTGGGCTCTGGGAAGGCTGCAGAGCCTTTAGGAGGTCGGACCTTGCTGGAGGCCGTAAGTCACAGGGATGGGGTATGCTTCAGGTGTGTATGCCTCCTCCTACTTCAGCTCTCTCTCCTCCGTACGGACGACAACGTGATCGATCGGCCAGCTTCCTGCTCCTACAGCCATCCCTTCCCTGCCCGACGTTATGTCTTCCCCACCAAGATGGACTCTGTCCCTCTCAACGGTAATTCAGAATAACAGTTTTCACCTTTAAGTCATTTTTAACCAGGGTATTTACAATGAAAGAGAGCCAGGTGGAGAGATGGAGTTCTCAGGACAGTAGGTATTTCCCAAAAGAATAGAAAGATTTATTTAAATAAAACGTTAAACTTTTATTTTATGGTGGGTGGTGGTGGTGCACGCCTTTAATCCCAGCATTTGAGAGGCAGAGGCAGGCGGATGTCTGAGTTTGAGGTCAGCCTGGTCTACAGAGTGAGTTCTAGGACAGCCAGCGCTACACAGAGAAACTCTGTCTTGAAAAAAACCAAAACAATGTTTTTAAATTTTATTATTCATTGCGAGTGTCACACGTGTGTGCTGATAAGATAACATGTAGGAGTGGGCTCTCTTCTCTGACCATATGGGTTCCCGGAATTGAACTCGGGTTGCCTGGCTTGGAAGTAAGTACATCTACCCACTGAGTCACCTCTCTGGCTGAAAAAAGATCTCAATACTTTTCTTTTAGAGACCAGCTCTCTATGTAACCTGAGCTGAGTGTTTTAAGCTTTGAACAACCAACATAGCCCCACTCTGTGTATAGCGAGCAGCCAAATGCCATCTCCTTGACATCTCTAGGGCACATGGCACTATGCCAGCCCATAAGCATTTAGTATTTGCTGAAAGAACGAGATACATGGGGCTGGGGAGACAGGTCGCTTGGTAAAGTGCTTGCCTTGCAAGTCTGAGGACCTGAGTTTGACCCCCAGAACCCACATAAGAGAAAGCCAGGCATGGTGGTGTGTGCACTTGTAATCCCAGTGCTGTGGAGGTGTGGACAGGAAGATCCCTGGGGCTCACGGGCCAGGCAGTCTAGACTACTTGGCAAGTTCCAGGCCAATGAAAGGCCCCGTCTCAAAAGAATAAATAGACATAAACAAAAAGTGAGTGGCACCTGAGGAACATCTGAGATGATCTTCTGGTACTTGCCATAGACACACACAGACACAACACACAGACACAGACACACACACACACACACACACACAGACACAGCACACAGACACACAGACACATACATACACACACAAACACATACACAGACACACACACACAAATGAGATACAAACTGAACCACAACTGGAATAATTAGCCATTTCCTCAGCAGGAAGAGCAGACTCTGAGATCTGGTCTCGCTTGCTTTCCCTTCTTCTAAAGGAAGACTGGGTGATAGAAAGTCATGTGACCCAAGCTGGTCCAATAGACAGAGTCATGAGTTTTGACCTAATTCTTCAGGTCCCCCCTGGCCCGTCACCTCTATTCCAGGCTAGCATGGGCCACTAGCACGGGCCTGCTGTGAGAGGGTCCTATGAGAAGGACAGCTCAGGTAGCAGAAACAGGGCATGGCGAGAGCCGGGGTGTTCCAGCTGATTCTGGATCCAGCCATACCTGGGGACTTCAAACGACCCAGTCCGTCCCCTTTCTTCCTTACTAGTGTTTTGAACGAGTTTGTTTGAACTGTTTGAACTGTGTTGTTTTGTCTTTTGTTGCTGTAAATGCTGTCTAACTGAGGTGCAAGGATTAACTTCCATCAGAAAAACCACAAGCCTACAATTTCTCTTGTGAAGGTGTGTGTGTGTGTGTGTGTGTGTGTGTGTGTGTGTATGTGTGTGTACAGGTGTGCACCCCACATGCTTCTGTGTGGAAGCCAGAGAAGCATGCCAGGTGTCTTCTTCTATCACTTGCCACCTTATCCCCTCAGATGGGATCTCTCACTGAGCCTTGAATGTCCTGGTTTGCTTTCTGACTACTGGGATAAACACCATGACCAAAAGCAGCTTGAGGAGGAAAGGACTGGTTTCATCTAACATCTTACAGTATATTACAAAGAGAAGCCGAGGAAGGAGCTTGGAGCTAGGAACTGATGCAGAGGCCGCAGAAGAATGCTGCTTCCTGGCTTGCTCTCCATGGCTTCCTCAGCCTGCTTTCTTAGAGAATCCAGGACCATCTGTCTAGGGTGACACCGCACAGTAGACTGTGCCCTCCCACATCAACCATTAACCCAGAAAATGCCCCACAGGATTGCCTACAAGCCAATCTGATGGAGGCATTTCCTCAACTGCTGGTCCCACTTCCCAGATGGCTCTAACTTGTATGTATCAAGCTGACAAACAAACAAACAAACAAAACAACAACAACAAAAAAAACCTCATCAGCACACGCTCAAGCTCATCATTTTTCTGTGAGTCTGGCTAGCCATGAAGACCCTGGGATTCTCCTTGTCTCCACTAACTCTAGTACGTGGGTTACAGGTGCATGTGATCACAGGTATTGGTTAGGGTTTCTATTGCTGTGAAGAGACACCATGACCACAACAACTCTTACAAGAAAGACATTCAGTTGGGGTGGCTGGCTTACAGTTCAGAGGTTCAGTCCATTATCATCATGGCGGGGAGCATGGCTGTGTGCAGGCAGACGTGGTGCTGGAGCTGAGAGTCCTACATCTTGTGGGCAACAGGAAGTTGGCTCAGTGGGCCATATCCTGAGCATAGGAAACCTCAAAGCCCACCCCCACAGTGACACACTTCCTCCAACAAGGCCACGCCCACTCCAAGAAAGCCACACCTCCTAATGGTGCCATTCCCTATGAGATTATGGAGGCCAGTTACATTCAAACTACCACACCACACCCAGCTTTTTTTTTTATATATATATACACTTGGGATTTGAACTCAGGACCTCATAACTGTGTGGCAATCACTCTTACTCACTGAACCACCTCCCCAGCCCCACATATGTTTCTTAATTTAAAAAAAATTACATATATGTATGTGTGCATGTCTGTGTGTGCTTGTGCATGGGTGCCTGCGGAGGTGAAGAGAGGGTGTCAGACTCCTGGAGCGGGAATTAAGGTGGTTGTGAGCCACTGGGCTTGGGTGCTGGGAACTGAACTCTGATCCTCTGCAGGAGCAGCAAGTGTTCTCAACTCCAGCACTCAGTTTCTTAACCTTCCACCTCCTGTGATGTCTTACTGGTTCACTCCAGGAACTTACCTCTCTCCGAGGAGGACATCCGGTAGATTTATAAATGTGGGGAAGTCCAGGTTATTCAAGACAGGGTAGGCGTGAATGGGAACAAGCAAGGTGTCATCTCCCTGAAATTGGGGAAAGAAGGTTAAATTTAGCATTTAGAAAACTATCATTTTGAAAGATAAACTTTTTTTAACCATTAAAGAATTTCCTTAGGAAACCTCAGTGCTTTAAGTAAAACATTAGAAATACTGTGTTTCTTTTGTGAATGTCCGTGTGTGGATGTGTGTGTGTGTGTGTGTAGGTGCATTTGCACGGGTGTGTGCCTGTGTGTGGAAGCCAGAACTTTGGCTATCACTGTGTAGGTGCCCTCCACCTTCTGTTATGTAGACAGGTCTCTCACTGGCCGGGAACTTAACCAAACACACTGCGATGGCTAGCAAGTGAGCCCAAGGGTCCTCTTGTCTCTACCCCACCCCAGCAATGAGATGGCAAGTCCACATCGCCATAGCAACATTTCTAAAAGTGAGTTCCAGGGGTCAAACTCAGGTCCCCATGCTTGCATGGCAAGTACTTTACTGACCGAGCATCTCTCAACCCCTAAAATCTGCATTCGTAAACCACAGACAAAGCACAAAAGATGTTTAAGGCTATCTTACAGGACCAATGCTCGCTATTACCCATGGAAGCTAAGGGTGCAATCCCCCCGTGTGAATACAAAGATGCTGCCCTATCTGCTTCCACTGGGAGAAGTCATAAGGGAAGACATTATTTAGGGGACCAAGAGAAGCGCAAGGCAGAGTGGAAAGCCATCAGCAGGAAGAGAGCACAAAGACCAGTTCTAGTTCATTCTAGTTTGGTGGCCTTGAACAAGGCCTTTGATTTCTCCGGGTTTTTCAAAGCAGGCTGCGGCCTTAAAATACAAAAAGTACTGCGTCAATATGGACTATCTTTATTTGCCTTATGGAATGTGCCCCTGGGACTCCACACCCCAGCTTCGTGACTCTGTATGAGGTCACATAACTGCATATGGAGCTGTAAAATATTTGGTAATAGTAAAAGGTGTCTAAATGCACAAGGACCCCAAATTAACTTGAAAATCAAATGCATGGTGAATGTTTGTTACTGAGATGTTTCTAGTATACTCGCCCGTGGTTCATCACTCGATGTCATTGTAGCTTTGGTTCTGAATATGGGACATGTACACTTGGGTGCTGTGACTCCAAACGATGACCGTCGAGACTGTCTGAAACACTTGGGCTCAGAGTCAAGACTATTGCATGCTATTAACTGTGGAGTTCTTTTAATTGTACATCTGAAGTAATTCTGTTCTTATAGGAACGTAATGCTTTAATCATGGAAAATGCAGACTTCTTTTTTATTCTGTTGCCCCTGGGCAGTGATGTTGTCTTCTTCTTTTCTCTATTACTCCTTGGAATGTATCAAATTAGTGGATCTTTGGAGTGTATTATGTCAGAATATTCAGTTTTTATGTATTTGCTTGTTTTTTACTTTTATTGTATATGTATGTAGTGTTTGCACACGTGTGTTAGCACACATGCCTGTGAATGCATGAGGCGGCCAGAGGAAGGTGTGGGTGCCCTGCTCTGCATTCTTTGCCTTACTCCCTTGAGACCAGGTCTCTCCATGAACCTAGAACTAGGTAGTCCAGGCAATCCTCCTGTCTCTGTCCCAGCACAGTGCTGGGGATACAGGTGTGTACATTCATGCCCAGGTTTTTACCTGAGTTCTGGGATTTGAACTCAGGTCCCCAGACTTGCAAAACAGGTGCTTTACCCACAGAACTGTCTCCCTAGCCTTGACTTTACTTCTTATACAAGGTTTGGCTATATAACCCAGGATGGCCTTGAACTTGAGACCCTTCTGCCACAGCCTCTTCAGTGCTGGAACTATGGGCATAGGCCTTTTAAAAACGAAATTCAAAGGGAAACTATCTTTAAGTCAGAGCTTACTATATAAATTGTAAGAAATAAAAAAATTTGAAAGAAAAAAGAAACTCATTTGCTGCTGCTAATTTGTAACCTTCCACTGAATGCAGCTGACTTTGCGGCTTCTGAAATTCCAAGACTAGGGCCTGTGACCAAAAAAGAAAGGTGAGTGAGGTGACTGTGGGAGTTGCGGACTCAGGCTGGAGGCCAAAGGGTCGGTGAAGAGATCTGTGATAGACTCCCGAGGGCTCAACTAGTGCGGGTACCTCAGGTCACTTCTCCAAGGCCTCCCCGTCTGTGGACGTTGCTGCTGGAGTCTCGGGCCAGTCCCCGGTGTTTATAACTCCAGAACGGGGCACCATTTATTTCCTAGCCCTGCACTTAAAGGAGCACATAAAAGTCACTGGACAAAGCTTTCACAGGGCCCCAGAACCACAAGATAAACGGAGGCCTGGCACACACAGCGGAGGTCTGCAGGGCGGTGTCCTGGGAGTCCTCCCAGGTTCGCTGTGCCTTAAGGTCTTCCTGGTTGGGATGCCAGCACAGCTCTGAGCCTACAGCCTCATCTACCACTCAAGAGAGTGCCGAGGGGTCATCCTGGCTCTGTCTTCTTCCTTTCGGGATATGATGTGTTAAGTGTCAAGGGAGACCAGCAGGATGTTTCGGGAGCCTGTCAGGATCACCATGTCCAAATCTCTTTCCAGTTAGGAGGAAGGTGGAGCCGAGGACCATCTAGCTCCTACAGCACTGAGAAACCAAGGTCCTTCTAGCTCTCCTTCATCCTCCTTCAGGATATGAAGTGTAATCCCCCCCCCACTGTCCCGCCCCATCCCACACACACATCCCAGCCCAAAGGATAGCTTCTTCCAGAAACTCACCTTACAGTGAATGCGGATGCAGTCGTAATAGTAACGCCACTCATCTGGAGAAAATGTAACCGTGACCATGAGTGACAAGCCTGGGATGAGGCGATGCTCCTGGAAGGCAGGGAGGCTGTGTCAGGACAGACCCCAGACCTGACGGACAGCAGCACTCGGGGTGGGGTGGGATGGAGGATGCACACACTCCTGACCCGGCAGGCCCGAGACAGAAACCACCACCCACTCCACATCCCCCTCAGCAGGGAAGGTGACCCAGGGACAGTACCTTCTTCTCGTAGGCGATCCTGAAGTATTTGGTCTGCGGTGGTAAAATATGAAGGTGTGTGTCTTCATCTGAAATATTGGCAATGTACTGGGGGAGATGAAGGTGAGTTAGAATTGGACTTATTTACAGATTCATCTCTTCACTGCTTACACCTCATCTTTATTACAAAGAGGATTCGAGGACACATGTTATTTTCAACCTTTTAGAAGACGTGAAATACGGGGTGGGAGGTGGCTCAGCCAGGGAACTGCTTGCCTGGCAAGTGCGAGGTACTGAGTTCAGATCCAGCACCCACGTAAAACTCTGGGTACGGCCGCAGCAGCTGGACCTGGGGACCCCAGTGCTGGGGAGGAGGTGGAGAAGCCCTAGGGCTCCTTGACCAGCAAGCCTGGAAGAACAGATTAGCTCCAGGTTCTGTCTCAAAAAATATGGTAGAAAGACACCCATGCCCTCTTCTGGCTTGTGTATACACATGGGTGCATGCAATCACATACACATATGCACACGCACACACGCACACACACACACACACACACACACACACACACACACACGCACGCGCGCGCGCACGCACACATACACATGAAAGAGAAAGCAGAGAGTAGCAATTAGAAAAAATGGCTTTTCCTATCTTCTTAGAACATGTGTGTTATACATGTGCATTTATGTACATATGCTTACATGTAATATAATGTTTAATATGATCAATAGCACACAACTTTAAAAAGACATATGATGGCTTTTAATTTAAAGTTCTAGATTATCACTTGGTTATCACAAAATGATTTGTTAGGACCGGAGAGAGGGCTCAGCAGTTAAGAATACCTTCTGCTCTTACAGAGGATCAGAGTTCAGTTCCCAGCACCCACACCAGGAGGCTCACAATGCCTCTAACTCCAGCAGATCCCACACCCTTTTCTAGACTCCACAGGCACTAGCACTCACATGCACAGACCCCCTCACACACATACAACACACATGTAAATGTAACCTGTACCTGCAGCCCTGGGGATACAAAGCCCTCTTCTGACTTCCTGAGGGAACCCACACACATGTGGCATACATTCACACAGACCATTCTCATCTATGAATAAATAGATAACTAAATAATCTTGTTGATTTTTGCCTAACTCTTGCATTCATGGCCAACTATGACTATAATAAATAAACTAACGCTCAGGTAGGATGCACAGTGCCTGTATGTTAAGGTCCCACATCCCTCATCCCGAGGAGAAGACATTGCTCGTCCTGGCCCTAATTTTGAGAATCAACATCTTGGGAAGGATGGAGTCCTTAAAAGCTGCAACAGGGGTTGAACAGAAGCCGCAGGGCACTGCTCATTACAGGTTAATGAGTTTTGTCTGGGCCCACAACCACACTGGCTGTCTCCTAGGCAAAGTGATGGCTTATTTATTGATAAGTGTAATTTCTGAGACAAAAATATCAGTCCCCTAAAGGAGAAAAAAGAATGTAAGCGTTCTTGAGTTTTGAAAAATCAAAACAAAACGAAGATCATTTAAAATTTCCAAGTAGACTGAAGCACTGATATTAATATTCATGCAAACGGAATGCTTCAAACCTTACATGACCTCAGTGTTAATGAACATACACTCAATCATTCCACTTGTGGGCAATTTGCATAGTTTTCTGTGCCAAAACCTAGTAGAAGTCCTTGTCTCATCTATTACAATAATGAAGACCACCTCAGCAATCCGACTACCCACATTCCAGAAAATGTCTCCCTCACTCTGAGGGGATGCAATTACCTTGAACCGTCCTGAGGGACCTCAAAGGTGTCTATGCAGGGTTCAATCTCCTTGGAAAGAAAAGGAGACTCCAGTTGAACAGAAGAGCAAACCACCAGAAACTGGCTGCTACCTGGACCATCTATAGCCTTGCCCAGAACATGGCCAAGGCCGGAGACTCAGCTTCCACTTCAAGATGAGCTCCGAGTGTGCCCAAGCCTGTGCCTACGTCCCCATCGACACCACCATTCAGAACAGGGGATCTCTTGGTTTGAATGGCAGGGTTTGGGACAGGACAGGTGTTGCATGTTCAGTACATCAAGCCCAGAGTTAATCCTTGAAGGAAATGATATTGCACTTGTTTTGAGTTCAGCTGCGTTTACTCAGCAAGCCACGGCAGTCACAAGCAAGGATATGAAACAGGTTTTAGATGATGTCTGTGTTTCTGAAAAAGAAAGCATGCAACAGGCTGATGATGGCGACCGTAGGTACCCTGCTGCAGAGTCCTGGAATATAAGAATGATTTGGGATCTCTCTCTTTTTTTTTTTTTTTTGGCATGATAAAAGACTTCTGTTGATTTGGGGCGGGTAGAGAGGAAACCCTAGTAAAACAGAACAGTTAAGCGTTCTCCCCTTGTTTGGCAAGAATCCTTTTGAAATTAGGGCCGCCCATATGTGCAAGAGTGTGAGGTCATCTACTGAGGCATAAACAACCTGCAGTTTACACACCTCAGAAGAAAACAGACTCTCTCTCCACTAGTAGCCGCCAATTGCCAGTAGCTCCTCAGCTAGGGGTGGCGCCTCAGCATTCTTTCCCCAAGCCTTGCCGGCATGTTGACTGGCTTGGTTTTGCGAAGGTCTTGTGCAGGCAGCCATGGCTGTGGTGAGCTATGTGCAAAGCCAAGTCCTGTCAGAATGCTGTATTTCATAGCGTCTTCCCATCGCCTGGCTCTTACGTCCTTTCTGCTCCCTGCTCATTACCGTCCCCTGAGCTCTGCAGGCGGGGAAGCGGGTCCATACAGACGTCTCTTTTGCGGCTGAGCCCACACACTTTCTTATTCCCAGCTTCTAACAGTTATGAATGCTTTTGATAAGAATCTTAAGGCAAATGCTTTGGGCTTCTGTTTAGCTTTACTGATGGGGACAGGAAGCTGGCTTTCCCAGCATCTCCCAGAATGCTAGTAAGATGAAATCATGTTGTATTGTTATCTACTTCTTGGTTTTTTTCGTGGCTGGTAGGATCAATGTGATGCTTTAGACGTCACACTGCCCTTACTGTATGAGTCAACTGCCAAGCCAACCTTGTCTGAGAGTGACTTCAGAGTCTTCCCTTTGCCAGGGTTAATTGAGTGTCTTCTGTGTGTCGAGCATTGTGCCGCCGGGCACTGAGGAAGTAGCCATGTGGAAAAAAAAAAAAAAGGCAGGCACGTGGCTGCCCTCCCAAAGGGTGCAGCAGAGTGGAGACTTCAGATCTCAAAGATTTTATCTTCAATGGTGTGTACATGTATGCCTTTGTGTTTGTGCACACGCATGTTGGTGCCTGTGAAGGCCAGGAGGATGTGTCTGATCCCACGGAGCTAGAGCTACCTGTAGTTGTGAACTGCCCAACCTGGGCACTGGGAACCAAAGTCAGGGCCTCTGCAAGAGCAGTAGGCACACTTAACTGCTAAAGCATCTCTCCAGTCCCCCCACGCCCGGCCGCTGTTCATGTTAATATCTGAATCCCACCCCACAGGGTGAAAAAGAACAGCAAAGAGGTGCCATGCCTAAATCGGCCATTCCGGCAGAGAGAATGTGTACACTGGAGTGACCACCGCCTCCTCCCAGACCTAGACACATCTTCTCTGGGCAGGCTTTGCACCTGGCCAGAGCAGGTCAAAGGCAGCCCTGCCTGGGACATTCTAAGAAAGGGATATCATCTTCCCTAGTACTGGAGGAAGACAGTCCCAACCTCTCACTCAGTATCCCGTGCACTGAACAAGTGGACTAAACCTATGGAATCGGGAGTTTCTCTAGATGCCCCGTCCACAGGGCTGCTGGGAAGCCCAGACCCTGGTCTCAGTGGCACAGGGGGGACACAGTTTTGGAAAGAGAGCTGAGAGGGGACCCTTGGCAGAGTGGAGTTAGTTTATTCCGGGACACTGATGTCCCTTTCTAACTTCTCTTCAAGGAACTGCCTTTTTGAGTAAGCAATCTCTCTCTCTGTGTCTCTCCCTGTCTCTGTCTCTCTGTGTCTCTGTCTGTCTGTCTATCTCTCTCATCTGTCTCTGTGTGTGTGTTCAAGCACTTGTACACATCTGTGCATGTGTGTATGGAGGTCAGAGGTCAACCTTGGGTGTCTTTCTTAATCATTTTCTAGTTAATTTTAATTTTTAATTTTTTTTTTATTTATTTGGAGGGTGAGCATGTGCCGTGGCACATGTATGAAGCTCGGACAACTTCCATCACTCTGCCAAGGAGATCTTGGGGATCGAACTCAGGCTGTCTGGGTTGGCGGCAAGTGCTTAACCGGCTGAGCTATCTTGTTGGCACCACCTTTAAAATCATTCATTTACTTACTTGTGGGAGGTGGCGTGTGTCATGGCTGCTTATAGAGGTCCGAGGACAAGTTGTAGGAGTTAGTTTTCTCCCTCTCCTGTGTAGGTCCCACGGCTTGAACTCAGGTCGTCAAGCTTGTTGGTAAGTGCCTTCACCCACAGAGTCATTTCACTGCCCACTGCCATCGTTTTTTTTTTTTTGTTTGTTTTGTTTTGTTTGTTTGTTTGTTTTTGAAACAAGAACTCTCACTTTTACCTGGAGCTGGATTCCCCCAGTCTGGTTGGCCAGTGGGCCCCCTTATCCACCTGTCTCCACCTTCCTGGCAAATGGGCGTACAAGCCCATGCCACCAAAACCCAGCTTTTTAACAGGGTGCTGGGGATCGAACTCAGGACCTCAGACTTGTGCAGCGAGCCTCTCTGCAGCTGAGCCATCCCCCTGGCTCCTGCTCTGTATCTGGATTAGCACCACAGATGCTCCCCCGACCCCATGCCCCTAAGAAGTACCTACCAGAACCTGTTCATGTTGTTTCTCTATCTCATAGCCTCCAAAATGGACTATGCCTGGTCTGGCCTGGATGGCCTTGTTGTTCAGAAGCTTGGCATAAACCTCTGTAACAGAAAGACAAGTCCGTCGTGAGCTATGGAGAAGCAGGTCTTACTGGTGGGGGCTGTCTTTGGTTTAGGGCACTTTAGGCACATGCAATGTGCAGACAGTGGTACAGCCTCCAGTAAGATGGATGGTGAGTCCCAAATAAACAATAAACTGGACTGTCTGCTTTTCTATTAAAAAAAAGATTTTTTTATTTTATTTGTGTGTGTGCATGTCTCTCTCTCTCTCTCTCTCTCTCTCTCTCTCTCTCTCTCTCTCTCTCTCGTGTGTGTGTGTGTGTGTGTGTGTGTGTGTGTATGCCTGTCGAGGCCAGAAGGGGATGCCAGATCCCCCAGAGCTGGAGTTCCAGACAGCTGTGAGCTGCCTGATATGAGTGGTAGGAACCGAACTCAGGTCTGCAAGAGCAGCCCGAGCCCTTGAAGGATTGGCCTTCTCACCATCCTCTCCTTTTCACTTTTGTTCAGACATGCTTATGACCTATTAGTCATTTACTCCTACCTATGTCCCGTCTGTCTGTGTGTGTATACTTGTGGGGGTCAAAGGACATCTTCCAGTGTCAGTCTTCAGTAGGCCAGGCCGGTTGGCCAGTGCGCTGCCTGTCTCTGGCTCCCTAGTGCTGGGATCACAACCTCATATCTGACGTGCCTGTGGAAAGCTCCCTCCTGAGTGAGGACCTACAGACACGTACTACCACGTTCCTTCCTGCGGCGCTGGAGTCAGGGCCTCAGGTGTCAGGCAGGGCACTGCCAACGGGGCGCCATCCATTGCAGCCATTTTTTAATGCTGCAGTTTCCTTTGGTTTGGGGTCATAAAGCAGCATGCTGTGCTCCTGCCCAGAAATGGTCAGGTATATCAATGTGTCCTTGACAGTCTTGAGGTGACAAAGAGTGACTCGGAACCAATGCAGTTCTGAGGTTTAAGGTGGGGCTTGTAGGATCAGGGTATAAATGCTGGGGGTGGGGTGGCTAGTTCTAACTGTGAACTTGACATAACCTACCATCACCTAGGAAGAGAGTCTCAATGACTGTCTAGAATCTAGACTGCAGATCAAGTCGGCCTGTGGGCATGTCTGCGGGAGACTGTCTTGATGTGGGAAGACCCAGCCTGAAACTGGAGGCACCATTCCCTGATTTGGGGGTCCTGGACTGTATCAGAGAGCACAAGCATGCGCTTCTCGCTCTCTGCTCTTGACTACGGGTGGGACGTGAGTGGCTGCTTCAAACCCCCGTCTTGATTTCCCTGCTAGGATGGACTGTGACCTGGAACTGTGGACAGAAATAGACCCTTGTCCTCTGAGTCGCCTTTGTCAGGGTGTTTGACCGCAGCATTGGAAATGAAACCAGAATGGGGTTACTAAACGTGAAGATGCGGAGCTGGCCATGGCTGGCCACCAGCTGAATGTTACCTCCTTCCTCACAAGGTGTCTACTTTGAGTAACCCGTGGGACCTCCCCACGTGTCAGCTGCTCCAACAGTGAAACAGAACTAGAATGTTGTCAGGAAGCTGTTGTAGGGCCGCCAGGTGAAACTCATGCAGATCGATGGTGACCCTCTCCCATCAAGCCGCAGGATTCTCCCAGAGTCTTTCCTGGTGGGCGACTTGTGTGGCTTGTCCTGGGGATGAGTCAGACATGACATATGCACTGCAATGGTGTCAGGTCAGACAGCTCAGGGTGAGGTGGGAAAGAGAGACAGGGAAACCTGGGGAGACGTGAGAAGGGAGGGGGGCCCCTCGCCCTGGAGTCCAGTGGAAGCAGACAGAGACCCCCTTTACAGGGAAGAGACTGTGGGAAATCCCTTGCACAAACCTAGTGGTTTCTTGTTTTACTTTATCAGATTATAACTCCATCTAAAGAATTGCCAGAGTCACCCTGAAATCTCATCAAAAGAGAGAGACAAGGAAAGAAAAGAGTTCTTAGCAACCTTTTGAAATGTAACCCGAGAGCCACCAAAATGGTATATACACCTAATGAGGCCATTAATTACAGCTGTCCGTCCAGGAGCCTGCACCACACCGGGGTACGTGTTACTCCGGGGACTTTCTCGGAGAAGCTTGCATCAACAGCTTCCCATCTGTCTTTCTGTTTTCTGCTGAGCGCCTCTCTTTCTCTTAACCCTTGTGCCTAAACCTTTATCAAAATGTATTTAATAAACCCGGCTCTGCTTCCTAACCTGGCTAGTTCTGAATTTTTTTTTCCATGTCAAAGAAATGAATCCTGGTTTGGCCCAAGTGAGGTCCCTGAAAGATTAGGGGAGCTCCCCAGGCTGCGAAGGGTGACCGTGCAGAGCCCTGTCTCTGTCCCCTCATGCTGAGCAGAACTGTCACTTTATCTGGTATACAGAGAGTCCCTGAGTATTCAAGCAGGACGGAGATGGGTGTGAGGGAAGGAAGTCAAGGGGGAGGAGACTGAGGTGAGGAGTGTGGTGGTCCCAAGAGCTGCTGAGGATGGAGAGTGCCTGTGGGGTTATAGGCAAATATTAGACACTGGAGGGTGCTCCCTAAGGTTGCTCCGGGAGGGTGCTCCCCGAGGGTGCTCCCTGGGATTTCCAGGTTCTTGCATCCCAGAGCAAGGAACTGAGTCGTGCACCAGGATGTGTGAGTGGTGGCAAAACGGAAATGGTTTATTGAGAGAAAAGCACTTTAGGAGACAGAAGCAGGGCTGGAGAAAGGTCGGAGGTTCAGTGGTGGATGGTGTACCAGGATCCTCACATCCCAGTGTGCTGTGCTCTGGGGCCATCTGAGTGGCCTTCACACTCTCTGCAAAGGCTTTACTACACATCTGCCTTGGTGGGAGAGTAGTCCAGTCTTTCTCTGACACTGGATTTTTATTCATATGTTAACCGTGTGTGTGTGTGTGTGTGTGTGTGTGTGTGTGTGTGTGTGTGTGTGTGTGTAGACTGTGTGTGTGTGTACTGCTGGCTGTCATCCACTGTCCACATTGTTTTCTAAGGCAGGGTCTCTTACTGGCCTGGCAATAGCCACTTAGGCTAGGGTGGCCAGCCAGAGAGCCTCAGGGATCCCGACTCTTGGGGATCCTCTTCGGTGCGGCTGGGGTAACAAGTGTGCACCACTACTCATGTCCTCAGGCTCCTCAGACAGGCACTGACTCACTGGGCTCTCTCCCCAGCCTCGGGCTCTCATCTTGCCTTGCTTCCCATCCTACTCTCCTCACACAGCGACAACAAGTGAGGGAAAGAAGCCATGGACCTTGGTGATTCATTTACACCACAAAACCCTATTGTCTGGAGGCAAGAGAAATGGCCCAATGGTTACAGCACCTCAGCTCTCCCAGGGGGCCAGAGTGTGGTTCCCAGCATCCACACTGGATGGTTTACAGCTGCCTGTGACTCCAGCTCCAGGGGATCTGATGCTTTCTTACAGCCTCCATGGCCACCCACACATATGTGGCTTATACATGCAAACATACACATAAATGAAAATAAAAATATATGTTTTTAAATCTGCCATGTAAACAGTTAGGTCTAAATAGAACTACTGTTCTTAATAATAAAAACTGTTATGAGCCTATAAAATGATACAGCTAATCAGCACCCACAATCCCAGCTTCCTGGGCCCTGGATGCTGTGGAGACGTAATTCTCAGACAAATGGCCGCTGCCACTCACTGGATTCCAGGAGGTGGTTGGGCACTTCCGCTCTTTTCTTGGGCTCCTCCACCAGGCTCTTCAGGAGGATGGAGGACACCTTATCGCAGGGTTCTTCTGCATTTCTTAGTTCCTGCATGGGCGTTTTCACAACTGCCATCTTCTCGTGAAGAATGCAGCTGTCCTTCTAGGGGCAAAGGTCATTTCCTGGGGAGAAAAACAGGAGTGGTAGACTCATCCTGAGAAATCACGCACACATTTCGTCTTGGCTTTTGACAAATGTACCTCTTGTCCCGTGCATGGTGTGCTGGGGCTCCAGCCCTCCCTTCTCTCACGCTGCATTCCCACACACGGCTGTCTCATTAATCATTTGACATCACACGCCATAACCCAATATGGCAACACACTCCAAACTCTCTCACTCTCTCACGGCTCTTTAGAGCTTTTGCTTTTTTGAAGTATGCTCCTGGGATGCTTCGTGGGCACACAAAGCGGGGGGGTGGAGGGTGGGGTGGGGTGGGGTTGGGGCTTTCAAAGCCTAATAAGTTTGGAAAGTGTCTGGTTTCCTTTCTGTTGCTATGACAAGACATCCTGACAAAAAGCAGTACAGTGGGGGGGGGGGGTTATTTGGGTTTACAACTCCAGAGCATCAAGGGGAAGTTGAGGCAGGAACTCAAACAACTAGTCACTTTAACATCCACAGTCAAAGCTGAGAGAAATGAATGCTCCCGTGCCACCTGCTTTCTGGCTTTCTTCACTCTTACACAGTGCACAGCCTAGCCTAGGGCATGGACGGTGCTGCCCACCACAGGCTGAGTCTTCTCGCATCAATTAACAGTCAATCTGCAGATCCCCACAGGCCAATCTAATCCCGATTTCCTCATGAAGACTCTCTTCCCAGAGGATTCTAGACTGTGTCAAGCTGACAGTTAAAAATTCTTCTGTCTGACATGTCTCCACATCACATTCAGAGATATGTGAACAAGGGTCCCTTCAACATTTTGACGTGGGCGAGACCCAGGCATTCCTAAGTCACCTCCCCTGTCTGCTAACAGGTAATGAAGCCTGCAGGTGGCCAGGTCGCACAGACTGGGGCATGCCAGGAACTCTGGGGGTCCCTACTGTCCTTGACAGTCACTGGAAATTCCACTTTACTTTCCCCATAAACACTGATTCCCAACCCCTTTAGCATTCTTTCTCAATTACTATTTTATCAGTCATTTGGCATTAATAATTTATTTATTGCCTTGAAACAGGACTTTATAAATGCCACATTTTTAAACACTTTATTATTTTGTGTGTGTGCGCGTGGTGGGGTGCAAAAGTGCACCTGTGGCCGTCAGGGGATAAACCTGGACTGGTTCTCTCCTTCCACTGTTATGTGGGTTCTGGGGACTGAACTCAGGCTTGCAAAGTAAGCACATTTACCTACCGAACCATCTCCCGGGCCCCAAACCCCACATTTTCTATATCAGAGGTAACTCTTAACTAGAGGCCTTTGCGCAAGCCAGGGAGGGGGCTGCTCTGAGAAGCCCCTGAAACTGAAGGTAAAATCAAGAATGAATATTTATGAGTTTTGCTTTTGTTTTTCTTGGAGAAGACCCTGGAGAACGCAGAAATACAGGGAGGTACACGGTAGCGGCCTAACAATCATTTTCAGAAAGAAGTTGGTCTGTCTTCTCCCCTGCACCCCTTCCCAGGAGCAAAGGCGGCTTGCAGTACAGCCTAAACCCTCCTCCTGCACACCTGCCTTGCAGTGCGGTGCCCCACTTCACCCCTCCAGGCCCTGCAGCTCCGGGTCCCACACAGTCCCCGCCTGGATTTCAGGTAGGGTCAAGTTGGGCAGGGCCTCCCCCTGGCTAATCCTCTCTTCCTTTAACTCCAACCCATGCTAAGGGTTGGGTAGAACGTAGACTCTCCCACTACCCCCCATCATTTCTTTGGGCCCCCACCCCGACGCCCGGCCCAGTCCCAAGATGAACACCTTTTGGACACCTGCCTGGGGTTCCCCCGTTTAGCAACTGAGCGGTCACCAGGAGACACTCAAACCCCAAGTCCGAGGCCTCTTACCCTGCAGATGATAGTTCCGGGGCGGGGCGGGATTCGGCGGCGTGCAGGAACCTACTCAGAGCGTCGCCATGACAACGTGGACGCATTCCCAGGATATGCTGAGAGACGCGCCCAAATAGTCCGCAAACTGGGGGGGAAGTTGGGCGGTTCTGTTTCGGAGCTAGGGCTCTTAGGGCTCTGAGCAGTGTGCAGAGCCTGAGAAAGACTAGAGAGCCTCTAAACTATGTGGAAAAACAGTGGATTCCCCAGAGGAGCTGAGAAAGTTTGGCGACACCATGGACTGGGGAGTCTGACGGAGCAGATGGGGGCCGGGCCTCCCAGCACAGTGGGCGGGCCCTCCTACAGTACATTCTGCGCCCCGCCCCACCCTCGGTTTCACGCTTTGGTTTATGGTAAAGTTTATACACTAGCAAAGGTAGGTAGAATTAAAAAGAAGTTCTGCTTCCCCAGCTGCAACCATGATCAAATCTCAGCCAATCAAATTTCGTCTGTACTTTCTATTACTTTGAAGACATTCCCACTTGCCACTTTGTCTCCATATTTTTTTAAAATAGTGTATCTTTTATTTGTTCTTTGACAATTTTATACATGCAAACAATGTATCTTGACGATACGCACCCCCAGCCCTGACCAAGAGCCTTCCACACATCCCCTCCCCCTCCACTTTCTCTTTTGTGAATAACCCATTGATTCCAATTAGTGCTGCAGGGGAATGTTGACTGATCTTGTTGACTTGACCTTGTGCAGGTCTGGTGCGGAAAACCACGGCTGCAGGGAGTTCATGGGCGCGATGGCCGTGTCGTCCCAGAGGCCAGCATTTCACAGCCTTCCTCCCGTCCTCTGGCTCTTACAGTCTTTGTACTCTCCTTTGATTTTCCTTGAGCATTGGGTCAGAAGCGGGGTTGATACAGATGTTCTATGTTCTATGTAGGCTGAGCACTCAATAGACACATAACACTGCGATCAGTTGTGAATCTCTGCGGCCCACTACAGAGAGCAGCTTCTCTGGCCACGGTGGAGGACTGTGCTAATCTATGGGTATAGGCATAAATATTTAGAAGGCCGATTGGCAACATCTGGTTTAGCGAAACCACAGTAGTAGGTTCTTTCCCAGAGCATGAACCTCACCAGTTTTTGACTAGGTTTGAAGTACCAGGCCTGGATCCCTAATTGTGGAGAAGACTTCAAATCTAATCCCAAAGCATTGGAAGTTTATAAAGTCCACTCAGGATTCCCTCTTTCCACATGCTCTTCTGGTCTCTCTCCCTTCCTGTATGACTTGGCACTTGATGTTATTTACAGCCATATGTGATAAGACTCCAGAAGATTCAGACTTCCTACACACTGTCGACTTCCTACATCTGCTGCGCTGGATGCAGCCCTTCCCCCACCTGCAAAGGTTCATTGATTTTTTTTTTTTTTTTTTGTCCACTTTTCCCCTTCTCCTTACCGTCAATACTACCTATTAAAAACCTCATCTTGGGACTGGAAGGATTGCTCAGTGGTTAGATGTGCTCACTTCCAAGTGAGAGGACCTGAGTTTGATCCTTAGACCCATATGATGGAAGGAGAGAAGTGACTCCTGCAGGTTGTCGTCCTCTGACCTCCACATGAGTGCATGTGTGAGCACGTGCAAGCACACACACACACACACACACACACACACACACACACACACAATTAAAATAGTGTCTGTCAACACTGGCATTAGGGAAGATTCACTTTCAACCCTCCTCATAACTTTCCCAGCCACAGAGACTCTTTTTTCTTCTTCGGGTTTTCATAGACCTTTTTCCCACAACTTTTTTGAGTCCAGGTCTCATCTAACCTAGAATGGCCTAGAATTCTTCATATATTTTAGTAGACTATTTTAAGGTGTGTTCCTTTTGTTTATGTTGCATTTGTGTAATTCTGTGAAGCTGTGTTACTGTGCCTGTCTAAAACACCTGATGGTCTAATAAAGAACTGAATGGCCAATAGCGAGGCAGGAGAAGGGATAGGTGGGGCTGGCAGGCAGAGAGAATATAGAGAAGGAGAAATCTGGGAAGAGGTATTGGAGCTCTAAGATCTAGGACCCAGAGAAGGAGGAGGACATTAGGGGCCAGCCACCCAGCTACACACAGCAAGCCACAGAGTAAGAGTAAGATACAGAAGGAAGAGAACAGGAAAAGCCCAGAGGCAAAAGGTAGATGGGATAATTTAAGTTGAGGAAAGTTCGCCAGAAACTAAGCCAAGCTAAGGCCAGGCATTCATAATTAAGAATAAGCCTCCAGGCTGGAGAGATGGCTCAGCGGTTAAGAGCACTAGCTGTTCTTCCAGAGACCCCTGAGTTCAATTCCCAGCAACCACATGGTGGCTCACAATCATCCATAATGAGATCTGGTGCCCTCTTCTGGCCTGCAAGCATGCATATAAGCAGAGCACTGTATACATAATAAATAAATAAATCTTAAAAAAAATAAGCCTCTGTGTGTGATTTATTTGGGAGCTGGGTGACACCCCTCCCCCGAAAAAGAGTAAAATACCAAATAATATATGATGACTTTGAGTTCTTGATCCTCCCGTCTCTACCTCTCACGTGTTGGGATTGCAGGCCTGTGCCACCACACCCAACACCATGTTCCAGCATCTTTATCTCTTTACGAGTTATACCCATCATGACTTGTGTGTGTGCCTTGATTTTGGTTGTGAGATCGAGTCTCATGCATCTTGGGCTGGCTTCAAACTTGCTGTGTAGCCAAAGATGGCCTTGAATGTCTGATTCTCCTGCCTCTCCCTCCCCAGTGCTAGAACTTCAGGTGTGTGCCGCGCTGCGGGGGTGGGGGTGAGGGGAATAGGGAGGAGGCTGGAGGGCTTAGTTCAAGAGCATAGCCCACCATGGGGGATGACATGCGACAGCAGTGTGAGGCGGCTGGTCACATTCTATCCTTAGTCAGGAAGCAGAGAGAGATGGACGCTGGTGCTGGGTTCACTTTCTCCTTTCTTTTCAGTCCAGGACCCCAGGCCGTGGGATGGTGCTGCCCACATTCCGGGTGGGTTTTTTACCTCAGTTTAGCCAGCCTGGAAACTCCCTTGCAGACCAGTCCAGAGATTTACCTCCTGGGTGGCTCTAGGTCCTGTGGGATTAACCGTCCCTCTGAGCCATTGCCATATCTTTCTCTTTCTGGATGATGGAGCGTCTGAAGATGTTTCCCGGAGCTGCAGCGGCCGTCAGAAGCGTCAGAGTGACAGGGATGCCGAGGACAGGGGACCAGAGAGAAGACCTGAACTCACCTTCTCACTTCTGCTTGTTAAGCCCCTACATCCCACGATCTTATTCTTACTGCTTCCAACATCTGACACAATGATCTCTTTTGTGTGTGTACATGCACATGCTTTCATGTGTGTACAGGTACATGCGTGTGAACATGTGACGGCCAGAACACAACTTCCGGTGTCGTCCCTCAATTATCACCCTCCTTGTGTTTTAAGACAGAGTCTCTCACTGGCCTGGAACTAAACCACTTCATCTAGGCTGGCTAGCTGGGATCAGTAAGTCCCAGGGATCTTCCTGTCTCCATTTTCGCAGCACTGGAGCTGCAGGCTGGTGAAACCATGCCTGGCTTTCTTTATGTGGGCTGTGGGGATGAAAACCCAGGTCCTGATGCTCCCAAGGCAAACACTTTACCCACTGGGCTATCCCCAGCCCCACTGCCAGCCTGATTTCTCAACCCTCGACGTTCATTCAGCATAAGCCATGGCACTGGAGCTTCTTAAGACTGTAGGATCTCAGGTTAGCTGAGACCTCCTGAATCAGAAGCTGCATTTTAATAAAATTCCACCAGGATATTTGTAAGCTCATTAACGTTCGAGAATTCTGGATCCCATGGATGCCCTACAATTATGGCTGGCCTAGATGGTCAATTGCTTCCTCTATTCATGTGCATGCCGCAGTTGGCATTCACAATGACCAGACAGAGAGGTGCCCCAGGCCCCAGGGGAAAAAGAGGCGATGAGCAAGACAACAGGCATAGAAGCTTGTCACAAGTTTCCAAGAACAGGAAGGGCCATTGATTTCCTTGTTTAAATCTCTCTGGTGCCTTCACATTGTATGGGGAATAAAGCTCAAAATGCTTAACATGCTCTCAGGGATAGGCAGGGCTCAGCTGCCACCCTGCGCCTACCTTCTCTTTTTGCCCGCCTCCCCCACTGTCCTTTGCCTGCAGTGTGGTGGTTTAGACCTGTTACTGATCTGCTCTACCCCCATGGAGAGCTGTGGTGCCTGTCCTTTCCTCGCGGATCTTAATGAATCTGTGACTGTTTTCACTACCCAGTTGAGCCCCACCTGAATCTAAGATCCTCAAGTTTGGGAGATAGAATAGCATGGTGGTTGTTTTATAGTGGAATATCAAATAGTCAGGAATATGACTGACTACCAAGCCTGTTCCATTTATATGGTCCAGGACTGACCAGGGAATGGTGCCACCCATAGTGGGCTAGTCTCACCTCAGTTAATCTGATCAAGATTATTTCTTTAGTCATTCTAAGAGACTAACCTAACCTGGATTATCCTTTATAGGTATGCCTGAGGCTTGTCTCCAAGGCGATTCTAGATCCTGTTAAGTTGACAATTAATATTAATCACCACACTTGATATTTGAATATGCTGTTAATGATTTTTGTCTTGAAGATTTTTAAAAATGTATTATTTATTTATTTATTTATTTTGAGACAGGGTTTCTCTGTGTAACAGCCCTGGCTGTCCTGGAACTCACTCTGTAGACTAGGCTGGCCTTGAACTCACAGAGATCCACGTTATATAAAGGGATTAATTAAGGTATGTGCCATCACTGTCCCACTGTCTTGAAGATTTTTTTTAATGTGCTGTATTTATCTAATGATCCTTTCAAACTCCTATAATCCTTTATGATCTTTCTCTCATTCTTGCTCCCATGGTTTCTCTGAAACAATGATTTAAATAAGAAACAAAAGGGGACTGGAGAGACGCTGCTCATGCAGAGGACCTGGGTTCAATTCCCAGCACTCATATGGTGGTTCACAGCCATCTGTAACTTCAGTTCCCAGGGATCTGAAGGCTTCATTTGACTTCTACCGGCTCTAGGCATGCATGTGGTACACATACATACACTAAAGCAAAACAGTCACCACATGAAATAAAATAAATAGATCTTTCAAAAGTTGTTTTATATATATATATGTGTGTGTGTGTGTGTGTGTGTGTGTGTGTGTGTGTGTATG